ACACCCTCGTATTTCTTCTGCAGGCTGTGATCTTCCCCACCAACCTCTGCTTGGAGAGCACAGATCGTTCACGTCAAGCCGCCGCCGGACACACCCTCATCCTCCGAGGCAACCGATGTCTACATCCCCGGTGCTGAGACATCCGTTCCCGGTCCCGGTAGAGCTGTGGGCAGGGGCCAGGAAGTGAGCCTGCGCAGTGTGCCTGGTTTGTACACCGTTATTTTATTGAAACCGATAATTTTTCTGTAATTTTCTTTATAGAAAATGATTATTTTTCTATCATTTCATATAAAACGATTATTTTTCTGTTATTAGTTTATATAGAAAACGATTATTTTTCTGTTATTATTTTAGACAAAACGACCCCTGAAAATTCCCTGACTTTTTCTCTAAAGACTACGATGAAAGATTGTTAGAGACATCAGCTAACAGCTAACAGCTGATTTTCTCAACACTCTATTTTCCTGTTGCACCTATCCAACCATTTCTAAGCCAACCCGAGTAACAAATAAGTCAGCAACACTAATTGATAACATTATGACAAATTCCCTGAATGATTCTTACGTAACAGGTTTGTTTTTTACTGATATATCTGATCATTTTCCAATCTTTTATATTAAAGAATCGCTTATCAGAGATAAAATCAATTGTAATGAACGTACTCAACGTAGATTTAATAGTATTAATAAAAAGAAATTTGAAAGATTATTAAACGATGAAACTTGGGAGGGCATATATCAAAGTACCGATACTAATTCTGCTTTTACGTATTTCAGTAAAATCATTCATTCTCACTTCACGAAATGTTTTCCTTTAAAGACATGTAAACAGAATCACAAATTTAAGAACAGCAAACCATGGTTTACCACTGGTCTGTTAAAATCGTTAACTAGAAAAAACAAACTTTATAAGGCGTACACAAAGAGTCCAACTCCAACTACTTTAAACCGTTACAAAACGTATAGAAACAAGTACAACTCCCTTATTCGTTTGTCTAAAAAGAAATATTACGACGAAAAGTTAAAAGCCGCATCCTCGGTTATATCCAAAACCTGGAAAATAATCAACGAACTCCTTAACAGAAAAAAAAACCAAGTATTGTCATTCCTAATAAATTTCGTGATGGAGAGTCATACATAGATGATCCACAAGACATTGTTAACAGATTCAACTGTTTTTTCACCAATATTGGGCCATCCCTTGCAAACAAAATCGATAAGACCGATTGTTCCCCTTTGCAATATTTTGAATGTTCCTATCCACACACTAACTCTTTTGAAGACCCAGATTCTACAGAGATTCACGATATTATAATAAATTTGAACTGTGACGAATTAAGTGCATCTTTGAGAAAGCAAAATGTCTCCTCCCTTTTAGAACCACTTACTCATATTTTTAAGCTTTCTTTGTCAACTGGATCAGTACCAACAGAATTGAAAATGGCCAAAGTAATACCCCTATACAAAACCGGAGATCTTGACATATTTACAAACTACAGACCTATATCAATCCTTCCTACGTTTTCAAAAATCTTAGAAAAATTAGTTTATAAAAGGCACTTAGAAACAAATAATATTCTTTATTCTCATCAATATGGATTTCGCAAAAAATATTCTACGTACATGCCCCTTTTATGCTTACTGATAAAATAACCGAAGCGTTAGAAAACAACGAATACACCGTAGGCATATTTCTTGATCTTTCAAAAGCATTTGATACCGTTGACCACAAAATATTACTTGACAAATTACATATGTACGGCTTACAAAACACAGTTCATGATTGGCTTAAAGATTATCTTGCTAACAGAAAACAATATGTTACCAATGGCATTTACAAATCACAACATAACTCGATAACATGTGGCGTTCCTCAA